CGAATTGCAAGCACTGCTGGATATAAACTCTGCGCAAACTGAAAAGGAGCTTGCAGAACAGCTTGGCGTTACGCAGCAAGCCATTTCCGTACGATTATAATAAATAAAGATTGAATTTTACAAAAAAAAGCTCAGAACTTTTTTGTACACCTAATATATACAATCCTTATGCTGGTGCGTAAGTATAATATTTCGAAAACATCAAAATGTTTAATATGTGTATAAAAAATTTATTAGAAACTGATGAATGCCCAAGTTATTGTAAGATTACGCATATATTGTACTTACACGAACTGTATGTACATTTTATAAAGGATTTTGCTAACAATAAATAAAAAATGACTTTTTTAATTTAATTTATTTCAGATTAATACATATAACTGAACAAATTCATGTGAGTAACATATGATAAGAACGTAAAATTTACATTATACAGTTATAACATGGAGGAATTGTAAATGAGAAATTGACATCTTAGCTTTTATCATTATTTAGTTATAATAACAATTGGTAATGATATTGTGAATTTTTTATGACAGTAATAATAAGAAGAAGATTAGTAAAGTTAAATGTTATTTTTAACGGGTTGTAAGTCATTATTAAAAAAATAACTTTATTTGTAACTAATTATCTTTATTTGTTACTTTTAAAAAAAATTTATCGATGCGTTATTTAAATTACTTATTAGTTTCATCAGTAAATATTTCTCGGAAAGTACATAAAGACCTAGGTGAATATTAAAATGGCCTTTAGTTATAAAAAATATAGTGTATTGAAATTAAGACTGTAAATTATAAGAGTATAGAATATTCTCCGCTACATTGAAGTAACCTTCATATTCGGTCGTATCCGGTGTAGTATCACTAACAAATTGTCCTCCTACACCATCATCAGAGAAACAATGGAACGCAAATCTATTGTACAGATTCTAAAAAACGAACAATTAAAGAATATCGTTGGGATGTTTAAGATAAATTTTCGGATTTTAACAAAACTGTTGCATTCCATGATTAAATGATTGCGAAAGGTACCTCTATTTTAACTCAACTTAGTAATCACTGATTTAAATTTGACAGAAACGGATTGACAATAGTAATTATTTTAATTAATTAATAAACAATTAAATTTCTAATGAAATTTATCTGTGGTAAATAATATAATATGATAATTTAAAGAACAATGATTTTTAGTGTTCGCATAACTAGGATGAATAACTTACAACATTATAACGCTGTTCCTGAGCCCATAGTCTTGGCTCAGTGTTAACTATTGTGCCAACGGCTACCATATCTGACTCTAGATGTATCTCGGTGCATTGCTGTCTTCTAATAAATTCGTAAAATGGTAACAGAGGTTCCTGATAATCATCCCACATAAGATTACACGCCACACTTCCGTATTTCATTTTCAAAACACCACCTAAAGCTTTGAGATATGACATAAAAAATTATGTAATTGTTTGTTCATGTTCTTTTCTAATTGTATACACCACACTAATAATTACCAACATATTTACGTTCCTTCCTTCTATATCTTTCGTAAAGAATCGTTTGCATTGAAGTTATGATATCTGTGTTAATAATTTTTCGACCTTTGGCACGCACTCTGATAACAAGGCCCGCCCTACCCTCACTGACAAACATATTGCCCTGGGTGGCTATCATTTTGTTAGGATCAGTTAACTTTTCTATTGTTGTTTGTTCGTTACGCCTTTCTGCGAAAATAAGGCGACTTTCGTTCTTAAGATCCATAGGTGCTCTGTACGTTGCATTCATAATGAGCTACAGCAGTAATCAGGTTTATGAGAAACAGTTATCGTATGTATGATAAAAAAATAATTGAAACTCAATACAGTAAGTTGAATAGCTTAAATCAGTAGAATAGAACTACAAAACAGCGGTAAGATAACGGTGGTATGATGATTCGTAAATTATCGTAGTTTGATATTTATTTAAATTGTCAGTTATGTAGCAGTGATATATTATCATAATTTTTTATTATTATAGTAATATTATAGTAATATTATAGTAATTATCCACATGGGCATAAAAATATGAAAATATTGATGACACGTACATGTCCGTAACGAGGCATGTGTGGTTTTGAAGCGTAAGAAGATCCGATGATAAAGGAATCACGGCAGCTGCTTGTGAGTATTTCTCGAATATCCCGTGTTTTATGATTCCACGGTACATTATCATTGATATGAAGGAATTCTATTATTGTCGTGTTGCCACCTAATCCTGTATAAATTATTCATTTTTGTGAGAAATTCCATTTAATGAAAAATTAGCTTTGTTGTTATTTCTTACCTACTCCGGCAAGATTATATGGTGCTGTAGTTAGACGAGGACAACTAGCTATGTCGACGTTTAGTTGTTGGAACAAGGGTTGCATTCCATTTTGCAGAACTATATATTATCGTGTACACACGCATGAAATATGATGCATTTGATGAATTAAATAATAACATTGTATGAACACATACCTTCTGCGATTTCTGAGAGAGTCGGTGGGTTCGTAGGAAATGTCGAATAAGGAACGCGTTCAGTTCTGTAGGGATGCCCATTTGGTATTCCTGCCATAATGCTAAATTAAAACTGGAACACAAGGCTATTAAATTTTTACTACGCGTATTGATTACTACAAATTATTATATTATAATAGTAAATTTGATGTTAAATCTGACAAATGTTGATGTTCGCGTGCTGTTTGAAGTAATATAAATTTGGGGGGATGGTTGCTAATTTATTATAATTACTTATAATATATATGTTGTTGCTGAGAAGTTTGTTGCATTTTTGAATTTCGAGAGAAAATTTAACTTATTTATAAAATTGTAATTAAACTAATATTTATATTATCTGTATCCTAAATTATTGTAATAATGTACGTTTAAAAATAAAAGTAAATTTTACTTTTTAAATACTATAATTTGTAAAGGATCGTGGTTGATATCTAAAAATTATGAAATACTTCGAATTTTGAGCGGTATTATATGGTGGGGTTATTTGCAATAATTTATTATAAATATTGCATCTATCAAAATATATTTTGTAAATTCTATATGTATCATTTTTGGACAAAAACTGACAAATGTCTTAACTCATTAATATTCAAGAACTGGTTAATTAACTAGTAGGCTGTATTAATAAGTTGCTACAAATTGTATACAATTGCAATTTTTGATTAAAATTTAAAAGATTTATTATTTCGTATCTGTGCATTATCTATAATTTAAAAATACATTGTATGTCGCGCTGTTCATGTTTTAATATTACACATAATTATAACAATAACATTACAGTTAGCTATTTTATTTTTACAAGTAGTAGCCGTGATAATATTGTCAATACATTGGTTTCCATGAAACAGACGTAAAAAGTCTTGTAGATTTAAGTATAGCTTAAATGTTATTAAATAAGTAATGATTGTGAACAATATATTAATCAGATATCGTTAGTTTGCGAAACAGAAAATGTACTAATAATTTCAAATCAACGATCATATTAGGAAGGTCATATGATGTCTATAATTTTAACGAAAAATTATTTGACGGTATCCAGTTTGATATAAATATAATGGAATCAAACACATTTAACACACTCACGCGCACGCACACGCACACACACCATATTAACTGTTACCACCATTTATTAAAATTGTAAAGTTACGTACACTGAAAAAAAATTATAGTGAAATGATCGAATTTGGAATAATAAGAAAAATGATTTATTATGTATTAATATTGTATAATAGGTCTAACCTGGCTTCTATAGCTTCTATTTCTCTACATGAATTGTATTCAATTTGAATTTCACTTAAAATTATAATTCATAATACTTTTTTTTCTTTTATATATTGCATTTAGTCATGAGTTAATGATAATTCTGTGAGCTAACATGCATTATTGTATTATATTTACTATTTTATAAAATTGTTAAATGTTTCACTCATTTAGACGACTTTGCTCGTCTCGTAGTCATTTAATTTAAAATAATAAAGATATTATGTCGCGTGTGTGCTTACAAGTCAAGTATTTGTGTCATGTACTTACTAATTATGTTGCAAAAGTATAGTTTGATTGCTGAATTTAATTTCTTTGTTACATCACCGTCACAGGCTCGTCTTTGCCGTCGTATATGACCTATATAAATAACGGTACGGTACACTTTGTCGCAGCTTTCTCAAATGTAACAAGAAGAAATTGGTTTAAGAAATTATAGAATCATAGCGGTCATAAGAGTCAGTAGTAATATATAAACATATTTCGTGAAATCGTTGACGTTTTGAACAATCCAATCGAAATTTGAAATGTATTCTTTATTTTAAACAAGAAATTGGTTTGAAGTCGATAATTTATAATAAGCTTTGTGTGAATGTGTAATATAACGCGACATTATTGAAAGATTAAGATGATATACCATTATATACATATTTAATTATTAATCTATATTTTGTTATTAATTCAAGCTTCTTGCTTATTTTGTTTATTTTTAATATGGACACAGAGAGAATAATTTTACTGAAGGATTTAGAAAGTTAGCTAGATACAGATCTGAGAATAAATTTGTTAAACTATAAAAATAAATTTGTAGGACGGTCAAGTTGATTGTTATAAATTTTTGCTGCATTACTTCTGACTTTCCATAAAAATTTTGCAGGACAAACAAAAGAGAGATTAGATTTTCTGTATTCAGCAAAAGTCTCTTTGTATAATACCATAAAATTGGAATCAGTTAATGCATTTGAGCTGTAATTAAACTTTCATTAAAAAAAATTTTTTATTTGACTGTTAATTTAGTCCTTATCTCTTTATTTGAGCTATATAACACATGGGCTGAAAAGTCCCGAGCCTAACAAAGAAAACACGGT